CTATATGAAGCTTCAATAAAGGATTCCCATATTTCAGCATAATCACCCCATATATTGTCTAAGTCAGTGAGCAATTCATTCATAATTCTCAAAATCATCATATGTAATGAATGATTGAGCAATAAGGTTATATTTAAAAAACACATAATTATCTCTCACAAAACAATGATTCAAAAACTTCTCTGGTGGGGGTGGGAGACGGACTGAAAACCATTGTCCATCTAACTGAAGCCGAGCATGCTAAGATAACAATATTCCTAGATGTATCAACAAACATTGAACATATTTGGGTGTGGTTTTATATCCACTCATGGTTCCATGGTTAAAAAAACACCAAGCAGATATGTAGATTAATGTTAATTTTATAACTTAACAGAAAATGGATCTGGTACTGAAACTGTTGGAATAACATCAATTTCCCTTCCCACTATGTATATTCCATTCTTCTTTAAGACGAGAAACAATAATTATTGTCTAGCTTCCTGAGTCCAAAGTGCTTTAAACAGACTACAGATTGTGAGGAAATTTGCTGTATGCTTTGGCGTTCTTACAAAATAGGACTGCTACATGTACATTTAATGTTTGAGTATAGCTACCATTCAAAGATCAAGATTTATTTCTGAATAAACAGAGCTGAGGTCGGAAGGAATTCAAGAACAGGTCATCTTTCATGGGATTTTTTTCCCTTCAATCATATGCACTCAGAGATCACCTTGTCACTAAGACTGTAAACCTATCAGAATCTTCAGGTATCTAAACCCCTCATTTACCAACATGATGTCAACTCCCTTAAATTGTCCTGATGTTCCTTAGATGTGTCAAATTTCTTAAAAACAAGAAGCAAGTGGCATTCTGTTGCCTTCATCCAGAATGGTTTTTCAACTACCCTAATCTAGCCTACAATGGAGTCTCCAAGTTTGATGCTAGCTTCAGAATGTTCATAAGTGATCGCTTATTGCTCCATCCATTACCTGCCACCACCGGTCTACCTCCATTGCCAGACTCTTTTTGGGTTTGTAAGAGTGTCTGCCAGATGCTCTAATCTAGATGATACCACCACCAAGTAGATGAATTAACTTGCAAATAAAAGGACGCCCCAAAGATGCTTTTCCAAAGGCAACTGGACTTTTTCTTCACAAATTTAAGAAGATTCTCGGATGAGAAGTGATTTTTTTTCAGAGAAAAAACCCCCAAAGAAAATCCAGTTGTCTTTGGAAAAGCACTTTTGGGACAACTATTACCTCGTTGGTTGACAATCTCAAAAAAAAAGACATCTCCCCATCTTTCCCTCCCCCCCCCATTATATAGCATTAACAAGCAGGCAGAGTTGATGAAAGTCTGTGATTGCAAATGGTTCCTGCTGCCTCTGCTAAACAAATCCTCTGATGGTCATCAAAGGAAGAGAAAAAGAGAGCAGGAGGATATTTATACAAAATGGAGTATATGAGGGTGGGAAGAAAAAAAATGTCCTACCACCATTTCTTTACATTTTAGCTCTTGTTTATCTACTGCTGGGTTCAGTAACTGAGCAAGTTTGAAGTAAAATAACAGGATATATGAGAATTTGGTTGTCTTCCTCCTTCTATAGAGAAGTAGAAGAACAGACATCCATGTAAAACTGTCCTTTCTGTTTAGACCTCAAGAAATAGGACAGCAAATGAGGCTTGAAAAACCTGCTGTTGATCAAAGCCCAGTCTGGCTAGGGGCCAGCGAAGGAAAGAAAGGTGACTCCCGCTGTGTTTCATGGGCTGGGAATATGAGTCAAGTTACAATTCATGTAATCCTATGCATGTCCAGTCAGGAGTAAGTCCAGACTGTAATTGGGGGGGGGAGTATCTTACTCTCAGGGTGGTGGTTATAGGGTTGGCACTGGGAGGATCTTGTTGGTAGAAAGGGCATTATTTGGCCTCTGTAGCCATCCCAGGTATGAAGTGAAGTTTTGGAGGGGGTGAAACGACATTCATAGATTAGAAACAGGCAGATACTATACAACTGAAGGACCTACTAGACAGATATATTATTAATGCTATATTAACACAAGTGTGCATGCATACCCACCTACACACACACACACACACACACACACACACACAAAATAGATAAATGTGGATAAGGAATGACCCCTGCTCATTGCTGCTTTCCTCACCCAATTTCATTATTTCTAGCAATGTGAGAGAAAAAGCTGAAAACACAAGTTCAAATATATTCATCTGAAACAAGGGGTCAATTTGAATACATTTAGGCATCAGTGGTACTTCAGTGATTATGGCAATTGTATTGCAGAACCTTTTGATGTAATGGTTAAGGTGTTGGATTCAAAACCAGGTTATTGAGTTCCTCAGTTATGCACAGGCATTGGTTGGATGTCTTTGAGCCAGCCAACCCTATTTATCCTACAGTTAACTAAGGAAAGTGTTTTTTGTCTGTTAAACCTCCAACAAAATATTTGCTCTGCTACCTTATACCATGATTTTTAAGGTTCTCTCTTGCAGAAAGTACATTATTATTATTTTTATTTTAATAGGCTTTGTGGATGCCCTGCTATTTTGGTGATATCTTAGGAGAGAGCATTTCATCTTCAAATAATAACTGTATGGGGGCTCAGAGTGGTCTGATCAGCTTACGCAAAAGCATGCCAGGTTTTTTGAAAAGTACTTCCCCATGAGGTACATATTTGGTACATCTTCTCCACTGCTAAGGAGGTAAAAAGAATTACATGCATCTCTTCCTCAAAATGCAGACCATTGATTCCTAAACAGTTGAAATATTTGTGTACAAGATGTAGCATTTTAAAGAGTAGAAACTTTGCTCTAGCAAAAGCTGGCAGAATGGATAATGTGGATAATAGTTCATGAAAATATATGGTTATAAAACTGAACGTATTTTTGGGTCTTCAACATGCAAGCTTCTTTGATGTTTTTTGCTTCGACCAACTAACGTGGCTTCCCATCAACACACGGTAAGAGGTATACAGCAGTTTGGCCGAGTGTTAAACTAAAAAAAGTTTTGAACTGTTTATGGATACCTCTACTTGTGGGTTGCAGAATAACAGCTATATTTCGCAGTGTTGAAATAACAGACAAGAGTGGCAGGGAAAGTGAAGCGTTGGTGATGGTAAGGGACAGTGCCTGTGTGTCACCTGCACAATGTCACACGAATTAAAAAGTAAATAGAATTGGAGGAGCAAGAAACAAATGGAATTTTCTGAGCAACA